ACTACCACCAAAAGGTGGACCCTAAAGTGGGTCCGAACGCGAGCTACTATGACTATTACACGCATTCGGGAAGTCCCGATCAAAGTATTGTAACCTAACTAAACTAGTTCGGCGTCCAAAAGTGATCCCCGTGTCGAACCCCTGTAAGGAAAACAAAGGGAGGGGTAAGCTAAATGCTTAGTAAATATGCAGGGGTAAAAGCATAAATTTCACAGAGTTGGAGCAAATATGAACACAAATTGCCAAGTTATAAGCAGAATATAACATAGGTGTAGGATACAGATTGGCTTCAAAGCCAAATAATTTGCCACTATTGACCGCCTGCCGACACTCCGTCGACCACAATTTATGGTCCGTAGAACTCCACTCGTCAACCGCCAACCACCTTAACACCCACACTGGCCAGTCACCACAGACAGATAATGGCTCGAGCAATAGGGTTCATGCACTGAGGTTTACATGTTTGGTTCTCATATAACCAATTTTTGCATGTCAGAATATCATAGTGATCTCATGCCTAGGTCAGACTCACTCCGACCAAGCCCCTGCCGGCTCGAATAGTCTAACTAGGTCCTGAGATCGGGTCTCACAAATATCTCATATCATGCACATCACAAATGTCACCCCGAGCTACAAGCTCTAGGGGTTCAGCCCAACAACATGTCATTCACACAATTCACAGACCCATTTCAGTAAAAATGAGGGTTTAGGTCGAGTGTGATAAAGTACACTCTCGCCTAAGACCCCTTTCATTTAAAACATATCACATAAGGCCCTTAACTTATGCACATAGCCCAGATACTTACAAAAATACAAAATGAGCAAAACAAGGAACTAGACGTCGTGGGGTCCGCTAGTGGGTCCCAGTTGCTCCGTCAAGCTCGCCGCTGTCTGCAATAGTAAATTATATCACTTTAGACTAAAAACGGGTAAAACGGCCAACATATAGCAGATCACAAGCAAAACGGCAAAAACGGCACGCGCGCGCGTAGAAACGACCAAACGGAAACGGAAACGGTTGGCGAAAACGGAAACGGCCGTTTGTGAGAAAAGGCAGATTTGACACTTGTTCCCATTTTGATCATAAGTTGAGCTACGAATATCGGATTAAGGCGTATGAGATGCCATTTCGAAGCTTAAATACTGAACAACAATTGTTACGAAGACATCCAGAACTGAAACTGGAAGCTTCAGTCCCCAAAAGAACCAAACAAAATCACCCACGGAATCTGACCAATGCACAAACGGTCGGTTTTGGGTGCAAACCGTTTTCTATGCTACACACGGCCAAATGAGTTGAAAATTGTCAGTTAGATAATTCATTCCAAATGGAACAACTTTCATGAAGGCCGACAACCCAAATTCTAAACGGAAACGGGTCATCAAGACCAAAACAGATTTGACCAGAATAGGGTCATTTTCTCGGACAAGCCAACTTTGAACGGCTATAACTCAGGCTACACAACTCCGTTGGAGGCATACTTTATACCGTTTCGACGCTGAAACTAAGAGTTATATTTCTTATAAAGGCAACAAGACCCAATTCGCATGGTATCTAGACGAACTGGATATGGACAGAATGCCTATCAGAATTGAATTGGAATCAGAGAGTGGTGCACAGCAAACTTGCACTGACCATATCCCAGACCACATGAATCGGATGGGTCTGAAACTTTGCAGGTCTACAGAATACTTTTAGGGCTACAAGTTTTGTGTTTTGGTCACAAGCTCAATCAGCTTGTAACTTGGTCAAAATTCGAAGGTAAAGGTCCAGTTCTAAACTGTCCTGTTTTGCTGTTTCACAAGAACAACGCGCGCAACCGCATGGGACGAATTCACATAATACATGCAAGTTTCTACGGAAAATTTATTCCACTCTAACACATACACAACACTCTCTCACTGCCCTATCAAGACTCCCGAAAAGCCCTCACACGAACAGCCCCTAACCCCAATCCAAAACAACCAAATCTCAAGTTCCACAATCCTTAATCCAGTGGACTTAATCTAAAAATCCCACTAACCATAACCTAACTATCTAAGCCTTACTTAAACCCAACTTAGCAGCCCCTCACACTAGGGTTTCTTATCCAAAATCTCGGACCTCACCTCTTCAACCTAACCAACCAAATTAACATCTCACACAACCCATTTGCAAGCTAATAATATTAATCAAACATGAATCAAAACCAAACCACAACAACCTTAATTTCTCTTCCTCTTGGCCGGTTACCATACAAGCAAATTTGACCAAATTTAAACCATGAAACTTCTCCACAATCAAGCCAATAACTAAGCACAACCACAAGATAATCAAAGCCATAACAAATTTAAAGGCTACCAGCCTTAATCATCCAAGAGGGTTTCATAAGAGGTTCTTACCTTGAACAAGGAAGAAGGATAAGGCCAAGACAACCTCTACCAAGCCTCAAGTAGAGCTAGCAAGCCTCAAACTTCAAGATGGCAGCTTCAAATGCAAAGAAGAAGCAAAAAACAAGCCACGGCTCTTCTCTTTTCTCTCTCTCTCTCTCACGGTTCCTTCCTCTTTTCTTTCCTTTGTTGTTTTTAACTCTAAGACTTATGCTTCTATGGTTTCTTATGTCTTAAGATTGTAAGACATAACAATTCCCAATAACTAGTGATATTTTGAAGTCTTGGCCAATCACAAGAAAGTATGCCAATTGCCTTTAAGTCCTTGCTTCCATGATTTCTTACTTTCTCAACTCTTGCCCAACTAACTTTCCTTTTCTTTCAAATTACTCCATAGCATATAATTAACCTAGGCTAAAATTCCTAATCACACTTAGCAATTGCACTAACCACCCTTAAACCTTACTTACCTACTTTATACCAATCTTTATCACACTTAAAATCCAACAAATAAACACTTCCATGTCACACCTAAATTTAGGGTATAATTCCAACCTCATCATTCTCATTCACCATTTAACTAGAGTTTTTCCTGGATTAGGGTTTTCTAACCCTTTAAACCCACTTAACCCTATATAATACTATACGACAACATACATACACAAATCTAATACACATCCGAACATGCAATTGCATTAGAAATGGCTAACCAGGGTTTCGCTTAAACATTTTCAATTTTTGCACAATTAGGGTTTCTCAAATTCCCAATTAGGGATTTTCGAATTATTTGGAATAAAAATTACCCTAAAATCCATTATTTTCACATACAAATCATATTTTAGGACAACCGGGGTCTCACAACCTCCCCCTCTTAAAAGAATTTCGTCCTCGAAATTATTACCTTCCTGGGCAAACAAGGTAGGATATTTCTTCTGCATCTCCTCCTCTATTTCCCATGTAGCCTCTTCTACATCGTTATTTCTCCATAAAATCTTCACCAAAGGGATTTGCTTATTCCTCAATTCCTTCACCTTGCGATCCAAAATTTGTACTGGTTGTTCCTCGTAGGTGAGGGATTCATCTAGCTCTACATCCTCAAGATGTAAAATATGGGTAGGATCTGGATGGTACTTCTTAAGAAACGAGACATGAAAAACGTTATGAATACGAGACATGCTAGCTGGCAACTCCAACTGGTACGCCACCGTTCCAACCTGTCGTTGAATCTTATACGGCCCTACATATCTTGGTTTCAATTTCTTTCCTTTCTTGGCCGCAATAGTTCCTCTGAGTGGCGTCACCTTTAGAAATACCATATCTCCCACTTCGAATTCAAGGTCTTTCCTTCGATGGTCGGCATAACTTTTCTGCCGGCTCTGAGCTGTTAATATCCTCTGGCGAATGATTTTAACCTTTTCCACCGCTTCTTCTATCCATGGCACTGCGGTAGCATCTAGAACTCTCCTTTCACCCACTTCATCCCAAAAGATCGGTGAGCGGCACTTGCGTCCATAAAGAGCTTCATACGGTGCCATTTGTATGGAGGAGTGATAGCTATTATTGTAGGAAAATTCTATGAGAGTGAGATGTTGACTCCAACTTCCTCCCAGATCCAAAACACACGATCGGAGCATATCCTCAAGCGTTTGTATCGTCCGCTCCGACTGTCCGTCTGTCTGAGGGTGGTAGGCTGTACTTAAGGTTAGTTTCGATCCTAAAGCATCCTGCATCTTTTGCCAGAACTGTGACACAAATCGTGGATCTCTATCCGAAACTATACTCACTGGTACTTCATGTAGGCGTACAATTTCGTCCATAGAAAGTTGAGCTAGTTTCTCTAAGGGGTACTTCATGTTCACTGGTAGGAAATGGGCTGACTTAGTTAGACGATCTACTATCACCCATATAGCATCGTGTCCCTTTTGGGTTTTTGGTAGCCCTGAGACAAAGTCCATAGTGATGTTCTCCCATTTCTATTCTGGCACTTCCAATGGTTGGAGCAAACCAGAAGGCTTTTGGTGCTCGGCCTTTATCTGCTGGCAGGTTAGGCAGGTTTGGACAAATTGGGCTATTTCTCTTTTCATGCCTTCCCACCAGTACAACTGCTTTAAATCCTGATACATCTTGGTTGTGCCAGGGTGTACCGTATATTTTGACCTATGTGCCTCTTCTAATATCTCCCGTTTCAATTTCGGGTCTTGAGGTATAACATATCGGCTACGGTACCGTAGTAGCCCATCCGAGCTCACATTGAAGTCAGGTAACGCCCTTTGTTCGACTTTCTCCTTCCACTTCTGTACCTGAGTGTCCTCCTTTTGCATTTCCTTTATCCGAGGGAGTAAAGTAGATGTAACTGTTATATTGCGAAAAAGTACTCCCCGTAGCTTAAGTTGAGGATTCCACTCCCCGACTTTTTCTAGTAACTCCCACTCTTTTAGTTGTAAACTGGATACCTGAGCTTTTCGGCTAAGAGCATCGGCTACTACATTTGCTTTACCCGGATGATACTTTATGGTACAATCATAATCCTCTAAAACTTTCATCCACCGACGTTGCCTTAAATTCAATTCCTTTTGGGAAAACAAGTATTTTAAGCTCTTATGATCGGTGAATACCTCAAAGGTTATTCCTTAGAGGTAATGACGCCACTTTTGGAGAGCAAAAACTACAGCTGCCAATTCTAAATCATGAGTAGGGTAGTTTTGCTCATGAGGCTTCAATTTCCGGGATGCGTACGCTATCACCTGTCCATTTTGGATAAGTACGCAGCCTATACCCATCTTAGATGCATCTGTGTATACCACGAAACTGTCTTTTCCATTAGGCAGTGTTAAAATTGGGGCGGAAGTTAATAATCCTTTTAGCTCTCGGAAACTGCCCTCGCACTTCGGGGTCCAAACAAACTGATTGTGAATTCTAGTCAAATCCGTTAACGGGCCAGCTATCTTAGAAAAATTCTTAATAAAATGGCGATAATATCCTGCAAGCCCTAAGAAACTTCTAACTTCAGTCGGGCTTTCCGGTCTCTTCCATTCTGTTACCGCTCTTACTTTAGCGGGGTCCACCGCTATCCCATCTTTTGAGATCACATGACCTAAAAAGGACACCTCTTCCAGCCAAAATTCACATTTACTGAACTTAGCATATAGCTGATGGTCCTTAAGGGTTTGTAATACTAACCTCAAATGTTGTTCATGATCCTCTCGAGTCTTAGAGTAGACCAAAATGTCATCAATGAAGACCACCACAAATTGGTCCAAATAGGGTTTGAAGACTCTATGCATTAAATCCATGAATGCGGCTGGAGCATTTGTCAACCCAAAGGGCATAACTGCAAACTCAAAATGCCCATACCGCGAATTAAAGGCAGTTTTAGGTATGTCCTCCTTCCGAATCCTCAATTGATAGTACCCCTGCCGAAGATCTAGTTTCGAATATACAACTGCACCTTGCAGTTGATCAAACAATGCATCAATATGAGGCAAGGGATACTTATTCTTAATGGTTAAGTTATTCAATCCCCGATAATCTATACATATCCGTAACCCTCCATCCTTCTTCTTGACAAATAATACCGGGGCTCCCCAAGGTGATTCACTCTCCTGTATAAATCCTCGATCTAATAGTTCCTGTAATTGAATCTTTAACTCTTTAAGTTCAGCAGGAGCCATTCGATAAGGGGTTTTCGAAATTGGTTCAGCTCCAGGATGCAACTCGATCTTGAATTCTATGTCCCTTTCTGGCGGTAGTGAAGTTAATTCCTCAGGGAAAAGTTTAGAGAAGTCACACACTACAGGTACATTTTCAACTTTCAACTGCTCCTGTGGAGTATTAATCAATACAGCCAAGTACCCTCGAGCTCCTTTACTTAGCAATTTCCTAGCCCTAATCCCGGAAATGAGAGTGGCTGAGGTTAACTTTCCTCGAACATCTAGGTGGAGTGTAGGTTCGCCCGGTATGTGCAAATCAACTGTCTTAGTACGACAATCAAGGTGAGCATAATATCTAGCTAACCAATCCATACCTAGTATGACGTCATATCCCTTAAGGGCTAATTCAATCAAGTCCACTAGCAATTTCTGCTCCCCGACCCATACTTCACTCTCCTTATAAACCATATTGGCAAGTAAGCTCTTATTGGTGATAGGGGTCTTAATTTCTAGGTCATATGGTAACTTTTCAGCCTTAACATCAATGTGAGCCATGAATGTAGGGTTAACAAAAGAGTGCGTGGTGCCAGGGTCAATTAAAACGTTTGCGGTACGCCGAAAAAGAGAATGTGTACCTTCGATGACTGCCGAAGGGTCAGTCACCTCTTGATGACCCATGGCGTACACTCGGGCCGGTACTTTAGGTCGATTACCCTCTGCATTGATCGGCTTAGGTGTAGTCCCTCCTGCCTGAGGGGTACTAGTTCCTTCCTGCGGAGCCTTTGGGCATTGAGCAATGAGGTGTTCTGTGCTGCCACATCTGAAACACTTCCGTACGGAACCCTGCTTCCAACAATTATCGAAGGGATGATTGCCTCCACAAAAGTTACAGGTCGATCTAGGTCCAGAACTTTGTCCTCCGCGCTGGCCACCTCTCTGCGGCCCTCGCCCCGCCTGCCCTCGTCCAAAATTGCCTCGGCCTGGAGTCCCAATAGGCTGCGAACCTCCTACTCCTCTACCCAACTTGGTGGGTGGCTCGTTCTTCGAGCTCTGCCCAGAGGTGTAGGTACTCGAGCTCGGTTGTCTACGTTTACGCTCGTGAAAGGCCTTAACCTGACCCCTGGCTGCTTCTATCCTCTGCGCTTTCTCTAGCGCCTGACTAATTGTGTCCACCTGGACAGCTGCTAACGCCTCCTGGAGTTCCACATTCAACCCCTGAATGAAGCGTCGAACGCGTCTTTGCTCCGTGAGTACCAAATCAGGAGCAAAACGAGATAGTTTAGTGAACTGCGTCTCGTACTCAGCCACACTTAACGCCCCTTGGCGCAGGCGGATAAACTCGTCCTCCCGCCGTTCTTGCACTATGGGTGGTAGATACTTTTCATTGAACTCCCGGGTGAAGTTAACCCAGGTCCAGGGAGTCTGCTCCCGTTCCCACTTGGTCTTAATGACATTCCACCAAGCCCGGGCGGCTCCCTCAAACTGAAAAGTTACAAAAGAGATTTGCCGCTCCTCCGTATATCCAAGTGCGGCAAAGATATCTAGCATTTGGTCTAACCATCCCTCAGCTATGTCTGGATTCGGTCCACCTACAAATGTGGGAGGAGCGAACTTTTGAAACCGTTCTAATGCCCGGTCCTTTCTATCATGATTATTATTTTCCGCATTTCCTCCAGGGTTCCCAGCATTTTGGCCCTGACCTTGACCTTGTTGATTAACCATTCTCTCAAGTAAGTCAGCCATACGCTGGATGGCTGTGGCTACCTGGTCAGGTTCATTCTCATTTTCTCCCTCTGGGCCTCTACCTCGCCCCCTACCTCTACCTCGACCACCGGATTCCATTTATATTCAGAAAGTCTAGAATTGAAACAAAAAGTATATTAAATATCGCGAAAATGAACAAAGTAAAGCAATAGGAACAAAACAAGTGCTTAACAACTCGAATTTAAACAAAGAAAACACTTAAAAACAAATACGCAAGATACACATAAAAGATGACCCCAAAAGGCCATACCACATATATACCAGTCTTATAGACAAGTCACGCCAAAAGATATACAAATTAACCGACATCCATTCGGTTCAAAACCCAATACATACAAGAGTACTACGGCTCCATAACCGGTCTACATCCACCCGATACAAAACCAAAAGTAAGCAGGAAAATACACAGAAGCTCCAGAGCGGCCCTATACGCCTCCCATAGGTGGCCAGTCCCCAACCGAGCCTAAAGAGTCTACCCCGTCCATCGGCTCAGGGCCGATAGCACGAGGCGGTACCTCCGCAATCATGTCTAGGAGAGCCTCGCAGTCAAACATAATCCCTCTAACGCGCTCTCGCATCTGCCTCTTAATCGCCGAAAACTGCTGTCGCGTCTCCTGTAGCTACTGGCGAAAGGCATCAGTCCTCTCCTCCTCCTCTCTCAGGCTCTGCTCGGTCTCTCTAATACGCATGACCTGCCCAAGGCCCACGTGCCTAGCCTCCGCTAACAGACTGCCCAAGCACTCGTTCGCCTTAGCCAGGCGGCGGCGCTCATCATCAACAGCAAGTACTACCTCGTCTGGATACCCATAGGTATGCCTACACTCACATGGCCTATTCAGGCGGCCAAAAGGTGAATACATCACATAAGGCCCACCTGGCCTCCTCTGAAAGCGTAGAACTCGGCGGCGCAAAACATGGTTAATCGGGCCCCCGACGCTCGGAGGACGCGGTCCAAATCTGGATCCACTAGGCTCGCCCGGCTCCATCCTACAAAATTTCAACATTATCTGGTCAGTTCGACAGCATTTTAGCTTAAAAGAGATCATTCATCTTAAATAAATCACAGAACCCTACTGCCTATCATGTATGTCCCAATTACCCAAGTCCTCTAACCTAGGCGCTCTGATACCACCTGTGACGACCCCAACGTACCCAGAGGCGTACCAAAGGGCTTAGCAGGCCGTCTGCCTAGCTCGCGCCAGGACTCGAAATAACCTAAGAAAAGAAAGCTAAGAAATACTATTAACATCCAAACAGTTGCTACTCACAATATATACACGGCCAAAGATTTACTATGTACAGTACCTATAGCGGCAAAAGTGCCCTATGTACAATTCAAAAGTAGCAGCTCATCTTACTACATTATCCTATGATGATAACTACCACCAAAAGGTGGACCCTAAAGTGGGTCCGAACGCGAGCTACTATTACTATTACACGCATTCGGGAAGTCCCGATCAAAGTATTGTAACCTAACTAAACTAGTTCGGCGTCCAAAAGTGATCCCCGTGTCGAACCCCTGTAAGGAAAACAAAGGGAGGGGTAAGCTAAATGCTTAGTAAATATGCAGGGGTAAAAGCATAAATTTCACAGAGTTGGAGCAAATATGAACACAAATTGCCAAGTTATAAGCAGAATATAACATAGGTGTAGGATGCAGATTGGCTTCAAAGCCAAATAATTTGCCACTATTGACCGCCTGCCGACACTCCGTCGACCACAATTTATGGTCCGTAGAACTCCACTCGTCAACCGCCAACCACCTTAACACCCACACTGGCCAGTCACCACAGACAGATAATGGCTCGAGCAATAGGGTTCATGCACTGAGGTTTACATGTTTGGTTCTCATATAACCAATTTTTGCATGTCAGAATATCATAGTGATCTCATGCCCGTTTCGACGCTGAAACTAAGAGTTATATTTCTTATAAAGGCAACAAGACCCAATTCGCATGGTATCTAGACGAACTGGATATGGTCAGAATGCCTATCAGAATTGAATTGGAATCAGAGAGTGGTGCACAGCAAACTTGCACTGACCATATCCCAGACCACATGAATCGGATGGGTCTGAAACTTTGCAGGTCTACAGAATACTTTTAGGGCTACAAGTTTTGTGTTTTGGTCACAAGCTCAATCAGCTTGTAACTTGGTCAAAATTCGAAGGCAAAGGTCCAGTTCTAAACTGTCCTGTTTTGCTGTTTCGCAAGAACAACGCGCGCAACCGCATGGGACGAATTCACATAATACATGCAAGTTTCTACGGCAAATTTATTCCACTCTAACACATACACAACACTCTCTCACTGCCCTATCAAGACTCCCGAAAAGCCCTCACACGAACAGCCCCTAACCCCAATCCAAAACAACCAAATCTCAAGTTTCACAATCCTTAATCCAGTGGACTTAATCTAAAAATCCCACTAACCATAACCTAACTATCTAAGCCTTACTTAAACCCAACTTAGCAGCCCCTCACACTAGGGTTTCTTACCCAAAATCTCGGACCTCACCTCTTCAACCTAACCAACCAAATTAACATCTCACACAACCCATTTGCAAGCTAATAATATTAATCAAACATGAATCAAAACCAAACCACAACAACCTTAATTTCTCTTCCTCTTGGCCGGTTACCATACAAGCAAATTTGACCAAATTTAAACCATGAAACTTCTCCACAATCAAGCCAATAACTAAGCACAACCACAAGATAATCAAAGCCATAACAAATTTAAAGGCTACCAGCCTTAATCATCCAAGAGGGTTTCATAAGAGGTTCTTACCTTGAACAAGGAAGAAGGATAAGGCCAAGACAACCTCTACCAAGCCTCAAGTAGAGCTAGCAAGCCTCAAACTTCAAGATGGCAGCTTCAAATGCAAAGAAGAAGCAAAAAACAAGCCACGGCTCTTCTCTTTTCTCTCTCTCTCTCTCACGGTTCCTTCCTCTTTTCTTTCCTTTGTTGTTTTTAACTCTAAGACTTATGCTTCTATGGTTTCTTATGTCTTAAGATTGTAAGACATAACAATTCCCAATAACTAGTGATATTTTGAAGTCTTGGCCAATCACAAGAAAGTATGCCAATTGCCTTTAAGTCCTTGCTTCCATGATTTCTTACTTTCTCAACTCTTGCCCAACTAACTTTCCTTTTCTTTCAAATTACTCCATAGCATATAATTAACCTAGGCTAAAATTCCTAATCACACTTAGCAATTGCACTAACCACCCTTAAACCTTACTTACCTACTTTATACCAATCTTTATCACACTTAAAATCCAACAAGTAAACACTTCCATGTCACACCTAAATTTAGGGTATAATTCCAACCTCATCATTCTCATTCACCATTTAACTAGAGTTTTTCCTGGATTAGGGTTTTCTAACCCTTTAAACCCACTTAACCCTATATAATACTATACGACAACATACATACACATATCTAATACACATCCGAACATGCAATTGCATTAGAAATGGCTAACCAGGGTTTCGCTTAAACATTTTCAATTTTTGCACAATTAGGGTTTCTCAAATTCCCAATTAGGGATTTTCAAATTATTTGGAATAAAAATTACCCTAAAATCCATTATTTTCACATACAAATCATATTTTAGGACAACCGGGGTCTCACAAAACTTCCCTGTAAAACCATCTGATCCTGGCATAGAATCCCTATCCATTGAGAAAATAATGTTTTTTACCTCTTCCTCATTCGGAATCCCTTGTAACATCTCATTCTCCAGTTCCCCAATCAGCTTAGGGAAGAGTCTTAACAATCTAGAGTCAACAGGTAGATCCACAGGCGCTGGCCCGAGAATATTGCAGAGAAGAATTGTTTAGCCAAAACCTTTATTAGATTGAAATCCTCCTCCCAACTTCCATCTTACTTTTTAATTTGACGGATAAACAATCGTGCCTACCTCTACCTCACCGCGGCATGGAATAACTTAGTGTTCGCATCTCCCTCCCGTAACCACTTAATCTTGACCTTTTGCTTCCAAATGTTCGTCTCCATACATAATTCCTGTTTCAACTTCGCTTGGGCTTGATTCAACAAGCTTTGATTAAGTTCGGAAGAATCCTCTTCCAAGGCCAATTCTCTCAATCTCACAACCTCCTTAGCTTCTTTGAGTCTATCAGCAATATTACCAAAGACCTCCCTATTCTAGGCACTCAATGCAGATTTAACATTTTTCAATTTCAATAACAATCTTCGAAGAGGCCGGCCTTGCACCGACTGCAACCAGGTTTTCTTTGACAACACCTAAGAATTGGTGATGCGACCACCAAACATTCAAAGATCTAAAGCTTCGGGCAGGGTGAATGCCTAAATTTTTTGAAGAGATCAAGAGTGGGGCGTGATCGGATATTGACCTATTCAAATGCATAACCGACATGGTCACATTCAGCTTATCCCAGTCCGAATTCACCAGAAACCGATCCAGCCTTTTCCACACTCGGGCCTTCCCAAATCTATTATTGCACCAAGTATATTTAGACCCCAAAACCCTACATCGCACAACTCTGAAGTTACAATAAATCTTAGAAAATCCACTACCTCCGAAGTTGCAAAAGGTCTACCACCCTTTTTCTCATCAGCAGCCAGAATCATGTTAAGTCACCTGCTAGAAGTGTAAGAAGACCACTTGAACATACCAAGGCTAGATCCCCTCACAATTCATTCCTAGCATTCTTATCACAAGCCGCATGAACGAAAATCGCTATAAATTCCTATCTAATAAAAGAGTTAGACATCCGCAAAGCAATAAATTGAGCAGTTTGAGCAATAACCACAGCCAAAAAAGAGTGATCAAAGAACACCCAAATTCTACCTTCAATATTTGCTAAGGCATGAGGAAAATTCAACCATACTCGTATGTACTCCAACCAAGACAAAACAAGTAAAGGCTCATATAATGCAACCAATGACAGCGCATGCATGTGACACAACTTGCGTAACCTTGCTAAAGTAGGCTTATTACCCACTCCCCTAACATTCCAGAATAGGGAATTAATCATTTAGACAGCAAAATAGGAGCTTGAGAAGGAGAAGAACATTTCTTCTTGTTTTGT